TGAAACAGGCTGTGCATCATACACTTAACCTGTGGAATGTATTCTTTATCTCTACCAAACATTACTTCTGTCAGTCAAGATTCCAGGTGAACTGCTTTCAGACTCATTATGTACTCTGTGTGGAATCAGCTGGGTAGCTTGACATGATATCCAAGCACCTTCTTATTACCAATGCTACATGAGTGTCTAAAACCTCTTGGAAGTGGTCATAAGACACAAGCCTCACTGCAGGCAGCTGGTACAACAGCAGATTTACTTAACAATTGTTTTTTATTGTAAAGTACACCTGGATTTCACCATTTGAGTACTTTTTCTTTTTGCACAGCTCAGCGGCATTAAGCATATTTGTATGATTATGTGGCCATCGCCACCTCCAGAACTTTCTATCTTCCCAAACTGAGACTGTTCTCACTGAGTATTGACCTCACCCCCATCCCAGGCCTGGTAATAGCCTCCCTGTCTCTAGGAGTTGAACAATTCTAGGGCCTCATAAATGGAGTCACACAAGTCTGTTACTAGCTGCTTCACCTGGCATCATGTCTACAGGGTCATCCATGTTTCAGCAGCTGTCAGAACCTCTTCCTTTGGGGGAGTCAGACCCTGTGATGTGCTTGGGCAACATGCTTTTATCCATGTTTGCCTTCATCTTCTAAGTTTACAGACATTTGTTCCAAAGCCCACTTTCAGTTCTCCGGTGTGCACCCACAAGAGGAATTGCCAGATCATACGGTAATTCTATTTTCAATTTTTTTGAGGAACTGCCAAACTTTTTCACAGCAGTTGTACCATCAGTGGTGAGTACAAGGGAATCCCTGATTTCTCCATTGCCTTATCATATATCCATAGCATCTGATTGGGCTAGGCTGGGGGGTGTTGATAGCCAATTCCTATTGGGAACAAAGATGCATCTCACAAGCACATTTCTCTGGTGTCAAGAAAAGCTGAGCAGCTGTTCACATATGTGTTGAGCTCACTGTACCTTCTGTGGAGAAATGCCTGATCACATCTATTGCCCATTTTAATTAGGTTTTCATTGTTGATTGGTAGAAGCCTTGTTAACATTTAGGTCTGTCTCCCACCCCGAGGGTTGTCTTTCAGGCTGATTGTAGCCTTTGGTGCAGAGGCTTCTTAACTTTCATAGTGTGTTTCTGTGTGTGTGTGTGTGTGTGTGTGTGTGTGTGTGTGTGTGTGTGTGTGTGTGTGTCCCTTCCTGATTATTGTCATCCCTTTTCAGCAGAGCTGGTTCAGGTGTTTCAGGACCCTGAAGAAGGTGCTATAACTCTCTTGTGCCCTGCAGGGCATCTTTCTTCTTCTCATCTCCCTGTGAGGAAGGAGCCTTGTTTTTATCTCTTATTGTCGCCTCAGTGAGATCCTGAAGTGCCCAGGCCAGATCCCCTGATGTCATCCTTGGGAACTGGGGAAAATGGAGAGCCTCTACACTAAGAATACCAGCAAGCCTGGCCTGTATCTCCACTACTGTCCCTGTGCCCCCAGCAGAGGTAGAGAAGGTGTGAAGTGACCAGATGCCTGACACCCACCCCTTGCTTACCAGCAGAGGTGACTTGTTTTATGCCCTGGATTTATAGCATCCCTGAAAATAACTGCCAAAGGTTGCTTTTCTTCTAAGCCAGCTCTGGATTTCTTGTAATGAGTCCTAAGCTTAACAACATCTCCTGTCTCCTGAGGGAAACCATGACCCCGAGTCAGTGATCAATTGGCCAAGGCCTCTGGTCCTCTCAAGCTTTTTTGCTCATGTGAGCTTGTTGTAGTGGTAAGAGGGGAATGATCAGGCAGGGTTATTTTATATCTTGTTGGGGTAGTAGGAAAAGGGAGATATGTGTACTCAGAATTACCAGTTGCTCAGTTGCATCCCTGTTTGGGGTCCCAGCTCACTGACCACTGAACATATTACATTTTACATCTTGACAGGTGAAAACATAGGATTAGTCCAAGAATAAATAAATAGCCATTTAAACGATGATAAAACCAATGACTGCAAGTTTCTAAAGCATGGAAGCCTTGCAAGTGCTGTCTTGTAGGAAACCAAACTTAACCCCAAGCAGAAACAAGTTCTTAGGTTAGCACCTGTCTGAAGGGCTGGAGTCACTGGAGCTGCCCACTTACTCAGGACCCTGTGGATTGCTCTTCCTTGGCTCCTCCTATATTGCCTAGATGTCAGTGTCTGCCTGATCCCTGTGCCTCCCCCACTGCCTGAGCACTGTCTCTGACTCCCCACCGAAGCAGCCTGCAGACATCCTTATGAAAACAAATTTAATTCTTCCTTTTATTGGGACAGGTAGAAAGAAATTGATGTCTTTGTCTCAAACAGAGAGAGAGAGAGAGAGAGAGAGAGAGAGAGAGAGAGAGAGAGAGAGAGAGAGAAAGAAAATACACCTCACTTCTTTTTGACAGCCATTTCTTTGGAGGGAGGTTGTCTCTCCAGCAGGGACTGAACCAGACTTTAGGGAGGAAGGGTCCCTTTGATGTCGTTTTCTCGGTGTGAAGTTCCTAAAAGCCTAGGACCTTGGGTTCTCAGTACCCTGGGATGTGGTGTGGTAGTCACCACTGATAACAGGCCTGCTCAGGCACCATAGCCTGGAACCTAGCCATGTAGCTGACCTTCACCACTCAAATGGACACTAAAACTGTAGAGATCTGTTTGAGTGTGGTGGTCTTGAGGTGGCCATCATGCCTAAGACACTCCTAGACACTCACCACTGGAGAGTCCTCCTGCTGCTGTAGCAGAGAAAGGGGACCACGAATCAGGGCAGACTCCTGAAGCAGATGACACAGAGGTCAGGGCGTTCAAGGATAGTGGCCTTTTTCCCCATGGGGCAGACCTGGGTTAGAGAGTCTTCAGTCTTCCTCACTGCTGTGTTTTATTTTTTTGAGCTAGAGTCTCATGTAGCCCAGGCTGGCCTTGAACTCCTGATCTTCCAGCTGTAGCCTCCTGAGTGTTGAGATTACAAATGTGGTTTTAAAATTGTTTAAACATTGATTGATCAATCGATTGATTGATTGATTGATCCTCTGTGTGAGAATCTCCTTCCATCATGTGGAGGTCAGAGGACCGCTTGAGAGAGACTGTTTTCTCCTACCATGTCAGTTTCCAGAGATTGGGCTCAAGTTATCAGGCTTGGTGGCAAGAACCTTTATCCATTAAACCTAATTAAAATTTTTTTCTTTTTATTATTTATTTATTCATTCATGTGTGTGTAGCATGAATCTTAAAAGGCTCTTACTAATAAAACCAAACCTGAGCCAGGTATTGGGGTGAACACTGGAAGATCAGAGAGACAGAACAAGCCACAGCTATCTCACCTTGCCAATTCCTCAGCTGGTCCTGTTTCCTCAGGTTGGAAGCCTATGAGTCCTCATCCAGAATGAATCTCAGCTGAACTGTGTTGCTCCAAAGCCTGAAAGCTTAACCAAACAAATGCTTAACCAGGCCAAAATGCTTCTAGTTTCTCGTCCTCACGCCTTATATATCTTTCTGCTTTCTACCACCACTCTCTGGGATTAAAGGCTGGCTTTCTGGGATTAAAGGCATGTGTCACCATGCCTGGCTGTTTCCAATGTGGCCTTGAACTCAGAGATCCAGAGGGATTTCTATCTCTGGAATGCTAGGATTAAAGGTGTGAGTGCCACCATTTTCTAGCCTTTGTATTTAGTGGCTGTCTGTTCTCTGACCCCAGATAAATTTATTAGGGTGCACAATATTTTGGGGAACACAATACCACCACATGTGTGTGTATTCATTGGCATGCTATGAAGTGCTTATATAGGTGTGTGTTACCACATCCTACAAGATTTGGCTGCTCGTTTGCCTTTCTGATAGAGAAATTTGTCCTGGATTCATCTGAGGCTGGACCCAGACCATTTGTAATCAGGTAAATACAAGCATATTGAAATCTTCCTACCAGGAGGTGCACTCTGGGCACCCCATGTCAGTGTGATGAAAGCTCTGGGGAGGGTGTCCCAGGGAAGTGCCTTTTAACTAAAAACATGTTGGTCAGGGGTTTTAAAGGATGCATAGGAGTTGGCTACTAAGAAGGCAGAGCAGTGTATGAAAAAAGCATGGATACATTGCAAGTGCATGGAAAGCCCAAAGTTATAAGCAGTTGGAGGCACAGAGCTTAACCGAGTACCGTGATACACCAGACTTGGTGCCAGGTGGTTTATGCACATTATCTCAGCTGATCCTCTTGACAGCCCAGACTTTTCTTGGCAGAGCACTGGGTTTTGCCAAATGCTACAGCATCTATTTAGGTTCTTGTCCGTTTCTGGTGTATTTGTCCTGGGGTAAATACCACCTACTCATGAGTATGGTCCTTTTCTGTGACAGCTAAACTCAGTTCACTAGCATTTTGTTGGATCTATTCATAAGGAACATGTGTGTGCTGCTTTCTTGTGTTGTTTTTTGCCTGGCTTTGATCTGGTGATCCTGGCTTGTGTTGGTTCTTGAAGCATTTGGCATCATTCACCGGAGACCCACCTGGCCTGGGTGTGTGTGTGTGTGTGTGTGTGTGTGTGTGTGTGTGTGTGTGAAGGCTCAAGTCTCAAGCTCATTAGAAATTATTCAGGTTTTCTGTCTTGAGTCAATCCTGACATTTATGCCATTCTAGGAAGCCGTGTTCAGCTTCATTACCTAGTTGTTGTTGGTGTCCTTCCATGCTGCTTCGGAATTCTTTTCTTGCAGTTAACGCAGTGTGTTTACTGTCAGTTCCCACACAGCTTCACCTCCTGTGTAAGCAGAGGGTGCCCTAATATGCTTAGCAGTGAGCATCAGCTGGGGAGTGGGGACCTGGAAGTGGCCTCAGTTAATTTCCTCCTGTCTGTCTTGTGGGCCAGTCTCTGAAGGGTGCTTTGAACCTTGTTCCCACAAAGAAGGGGCATAAATTCTTTTGTCATTTTCTTAATGATACATGAGCAACAGATTGTAGGTTGTTTCTAACAAACTGTCCTTTTCTATTAATGACATTGGTGCTAATTGCTCTTAGGTGTTCACCTCCCACGGCCCCACAGTGATCATGCCAACGTGGTTCTGCTCTCGGGCCTGGTTTTCCCATGTTGGCCCATTTGATGAAGGAGGACGGGTAAGTAACACCCAGTAGAACTTGGGCTCTTTGTGGGTTCTCCTGAAGGCCAGGGTTTTCAGGAAATTACTTCAGACTCTTCCCGGCATTCCTGTGGTATTTATAATTTTGCTAACTGCAGTGGATTTCGGTGAACATGCCCTGATCCACTTCTCTGGTGCATCTTTGTCTATGGGCCCACAGTACCTCATCCTGGATTAATGGCTGTTGGTGGGAAACTGTAGGTGGTGTTAGCTAGGTTCTCTTGGACCCTCAGGGCATATCTTCACCTACCTGTGAAAATGAGCCCAGGACTGGGTTGTATCCTGCAGGCGGTTGGCTGACCGGCCATTTGGCCATGATGTCCTTTCAAGCCCCTGCCTGGCAACAGTGAACATTCTCATCCCCAAGCAACATCTCTGTACTGGTGAGCCTGACCCCAGCCTGAGCTGAGCCCTTCCTCAGATCTATTTTGTATTATTTACTCTCCATTTTATGTTCCCACCTCCACATCTTCCTGTTTGCTAAGGGTGTGTGATACAGCTCAGAGACTTGTCTCAAGTTTTGTTACTTGAGCCCATTAATGTTTGATATGGTGGATGAGGAAGTGAATTTTCATCATGGCAGTAATTGTTATGCTTGAGAGACATGTACTTTCACCTCCCTGTCCCTCTGCTTATTTCCTGGTTCCTGGTTCAACATCGCCCCCTTCTGCCCATGATGTTAAAGTACAGCCTTGTAACAGACTGTACTCAGGTGATACTCTTCTTCCCTTTTATCTCAGCCTGCCTCGTGTTCTGACACCCAACTTCTCCCCTGCTCAGCATCTCACTCAGGGCCTCCTGAAAAGCCAGCTTACCGTCCCCGTTTCTCTGTTTTGGTGAGCTTTCCATTCCCAAGGCCATGCAGCTCTGTGCTCACTGATTATCCCATGATTGTGTCTGTTGATAGTTTGCCCCAAGACCTTTTCTGCCCCACAAAGTAGAATTTAAGGTAGAACTGAGACTTCAGACCCACATCTAGCCTACCCTCTGCTTCATCCTCATGTCTGTCTTAGAGTTCATTTCTTATCTGCTGAGAAAACAAGTTGCTAATCTCCATTTCTTTCCTGTGGCCTGAACTACCCTACATTACCCTTGAGTGTCAAGAGTGGATTCTTTTATTGAGACAAAGTCTGGCTATGGTGTTCAGCTTGAGCACTAGCTTCTGGGCTCAGTCAATCCTGTGAGCTCTGCCTCCCAGATATCTGGGGCCACAAGTGCCACCACACTTGACTCTAAGCAAAACACCCTTCCATAGCATCTGATAGCCTGGGTCAGTACCCAGCATAGTGATCACTATCCTCTGCCTTTTTCAGGGGGTACCAGAGGACCTGTTGTTCTTCTATGAGCACCTTAGGAAAGGGGGTGGCGTCTTCCGGGTGGACCACAGCCTGCTTCTCTACCGCTACCACTTGCATGCAGCCACACATTCAGTTCTTGAGTAAGTAGGACATAACAAATTCTGGAAATACCTGGGATGGTCCAAGAACAGGTGAGATGCTGATGTGGCCAGGCCCAGATCACTTGTAAGTCACTGTTGTGATTGGGCCCAGGATTGGTGGAGTCAGGACTCTCCATAAAGCTCATAATGGTGGGATATAGGGCATACCACTAAGGTGTTAAGGGTGGGGTCAGAGTGTACTGTAGTACCTTGTGGGAAGCCCTTCAGGGCCACTAGATGTCCTGTTCTTCAATGCCAAAGCCAAACACCAGTTTCCCTGATGGTGTTAGGTGAAGGCTTGCTCTCAACTTTGTTTTCATTTGCTCTTACCTAGCATGGCTCACCATGGAACCCAGGAGGAGGTCTGACAGGCTAACAAGCCCTGTGGTGGAAGGAGTTGTGGCTGAGCTATGCCTCCATAGCTGATGACCCCTTTCACTTTTCTTTGGCTGGCCTGCTGTCCTTGGCCCTCCAAGCCCACTGATTAAAGATGTGGAACCAGGCTTGCTTAGTGTAAAAGAGAGCTTGTTAACTCTTTAGTCTGCCCTGTGGATGAGACAGAGGTATTACAAGAGAGTGAGTGGTAGACCATGTTTCTCACTAAGTAGCCAAACTTCAGTCACATGAGGTTCAGCAGTGCATCTGAAACAGATATAGCAAGAGTAAAACTGTTTTAAAAATCAACTAGTATGGTTTACATCATTCTGTGTAAACTATACCTGAATTAAAACACACAGTACTGCTTCTCCAAAGAAGGAACTCCTTCCCACTGTCCACTGATAGAGGTAGAAATTAGTGGCAAAGCACTGTGTGAGCTATCTGGACACCAGGGTGCAGGTGTTTCTGGTGCTGATTCTACCGACTGATTGAAACACTACACTCATCTCACACCATCATCCTGTAGGCCCCGTGAGTATGAGATGCCTTGAGATCATGTGGTCATTTGTGTAAGGGAGGTCCTTCCCATGCTTGTCTGTGAGGCTCAGGACGCATGGGTAGTGACTTGCAGCCCACCCAGCAGGCACTCATCATGCCCCTCAGCAGAGCAGCCTGTGTATACAGAGTTCACTCCTTTATGTTTGCACAGTAAGCTTTGCCACCCACAGCATAAAAATAAGTGATCTAATAGGAGTTTCTGTGTTGGATTAAAGTCTTTAAGCTGTGAGCTGCAGCACCTCCCAGGATAACAGCTGTAATTATAACCTGAGGTTTGCTTAAGAGTTGCATTTGTCTAAACTATGAGAAACCTTTGGGTGGCAATGTCTTGATTCTGTCATTTTTATTTCAAGTTCAAAATGGCCCGAATTTGTGTCATTTATCTTTGTGTGTGTGGCATACCTCAGACACCAAAGGGCAGATAGGAGAATAGCATCTTAGGAAATCAAACATTCCTCACACTTGTGAGCTGCAGACCTACTGTGTTGCCCCTTCATCCCCTTTATACTTTTACTGACGTTTCATCTTACAGTGTGTTTAGCCTCCTGTGATACACATGCTGCCTATGCTCTGCAAGCTGTTTGCTTCCTAGTGTCACAGTTGAGGTCTGTAGAGAGTGTGTTTCTGACCTTGTTCCCCAGGAAGTATGATGCTGGATTTGTGCCTTTATCAAATATTTGGAGAGAACCAGATAAGGCCTTTCCCCAGATGAGTATAGCAGCAGGCTGTGTCTCAAAAGTAGGGATGAGGGGACCAGACATGGCACTACTGGTGTCCTGACCCCTAGTATCCAGCCTCAGACTACCTGTGCTAACATATTGCTGGTGTGGTACCTGGCAGGACAGGTGGGCCATCCCCTGTATGCCTCTAACACAGTTTTGTTGTTGTTGTTGTTATTGTTTTTGGTTTGGTTTGGTTTGGTTTTTCGAGACAGGGTTTCTCTGTGTAGTTTTGGTGCCTGTTCTGGATCTCGCTCTGTAGACCAGGCTGGCCTCAAACTCACAGAGATCCGTCTGGCTCTGCCTCCCGAGTGCTGGGATTAAAGGCATGTGCCATCACCACCTGGCTCTAGCAAGGTTTTTATAGCCTTTTTTTCTGGCCACAGATGCTGCTGACCAGTGGCCATGCCTTCTTTCCCTCCCTACCAGCCACCACTTACCCATGGACTCCTGTGTAGTAGCACAATGCTGAGTCTGATGTTCCAGGGTCTTCCCAAAAAGTTCTAGAAACTTAGGAATATGGGTCCAAGAAAACCAGTTCCCTTAGCTATTGACCCCAGCTCTAAGTTGATAGTCTCTTAAAAAAAAGACAGACTTGCTGGGTGCCAGATGGTCCGTTCTCTAGGCAGAGTCCTAGGAGAAACAAGGCCAGTGCAAGATGTTGCTAGCAAGGCCCAGATGTCCAGCAGTTTCTGCATCATATCTTTTTATAACTGCCTGGACCCTACCCCCAATCCCCTTCAGAGGCCACCTAACAAAACTCAGGATGCCAAGGGCCTTATGTGCCTAGAGCCCAGTCCTAGTGGACATGCTTGTAATTGCTGTATGAAATCATTGGTGCCAGTGTTTGGAGGAACTACACTGACTTTACTCTACAGTTAAACCCACCATCCTGCAAATAAACTTCACAGATGGAGCATAGCAGAATTAGGGTTTTTCTCACACAGACACCAAATGGACCCAGCCAGTGTGTGGGCAGGATATCACCAACACATCATCTGTGCTTGGTCTCTAGCAGGAGCTACTGTTGGACACATTTACTTACCTATGTCCATGCCACATACATATATGCAGAAATGCACATGGGTAATCACTGCACATGTACATGTATACCACACAAGTGCCCTGTACATATACTTTCATGGATTTGGTGCATACAGTGTACATCATGTCTTGCTCAGATACTGACCAAAACAGACCTCTTGTAGTGACCAAAGATATGGGGACAAACTCTCAGGTTGTCCTCAGAGGTTAAGTAAGGACAAGCAGCCCTTTAGGCAGGGCATTCCTTGAGGAGTCTGAGATAACAGAGGGGCTTAGTAGCCCCTGCTGCATCTCCTGTGTTGATATAGCTGTGAACCCTAACAGTGGGCTGTTTCCAAGCAGGTCTCCTGCAAAGGCCCTGGCTGAAGGCAGATGGGAAGGGGGACACTTGTGGCTAGGATGAAGTTGGAGGTTGGCCTGCTGGCATACCACGGGGTCTGAGCAGCCTGTGCCTGGAGTTCCCTCATATTCACTTTGTGAATAACTCTCACCCACACTTAGGCAGAGTAGATAGGCATGTTACTACCTCTGCTGGGGGTGCCTCAAAAAGGCAAGTCTTGCTTTTTAAACCTTTGACTCTACCCTTTTGCCTTTTGCTCCCATATTGAAGCTGTCTGGGACCATCACACTAAAGTTTGCTGAAGGATAAAAACCAGAAGGACCATTCTTGGCTTACGCCATTGATGAAATATCTGACCCTTGCTTGAGGCCTGTGCTGTGAGATCAAGGTTCTCATTCTTAGGGTCTTCCATTTCCTTGGGTAACAGTATGGCTGCAGAGAGGTACACCGTATGGGGCTGAAGCATGTACTCTTTGTAACTTTGTCTTATAAAGGGGACAATGCAGCCATAGAGAGGATTGGCCAGGGTTCAGAATTAGATGTCATTCACTTATGTGGTTCCCCAGAACCCCTAGGGAATTCCCTACCAAAAATCACTGAGCTCAACACAGCCCTAATTAGAACGTTTTAACACAGGAGGTCTCAGGAAAATGCTTTGATGTGGGTAGTGACACAAGAGGTGCAGCCCTGAATACAAGGGAGGTACCCTCCAAAGGACCAGAGTGCTAGGGTTTGGGCATAGAGACAAGGCTGGAAGGCCTGGCCCTAAGATGAGGGACAGCAGGTGAGTAGAGCTCACGGGGACTGAGAAGGAACCAGCCCTGGAGATCTGCATCCAAGGTCCTACTGTCTGGGAGCAAGTCTGTGCCCAAAAAGGGACATCTTTGGTATTGTCTGAGGGAAGGGACAGTCTGAGGCAGAAAATTTACTTCCTAGTGTGAACTTGGCTTTTTACCCAGACCTTTCTTGTATTGACTAACCTGGGAAATTGAACAAGGGTTATTGGGTCCACTGTAACTCCCTTTTCACTTTGTAACTCAAAAGGACTAGTTTCCATATCTAGAATTTGGGGCCTAGAGAGTTGGCTCTGACAGTGAAATGTTTGCTACAGAAACAAGAGGACCTAAGTTCAATCCCCAGCACCCACATAAAAAGCTAAGAATGGCAGCACACACCTGTAACCCTAGTGCCAAGAAGGGAAACTGGAGGATCCCTGGAGCTTGTTGGCTAGTTAGTCTTGCTGAATTAGTGAGCTCTAGGTTCAACTTCCTCTCAAAAAATAAGATAGAAAATGATAAAGATACCTGATGCCAGCCACTGGCTTTTGCATGAACCTTCCTATATGTGCACACATGTATACATACTTACCACATACTAGAGGCACTCATGTGCTGGTGGAACTGGCAGCTATGGAGGGGCCCCACCTATCAAGTCTACATCTCTCAGGGTCCCACCTAGAAAGCAGGACCAATGAGTGGCTTAAGATTTCCCAAAGGGCATTGGCTTACATGGTGGCTCATGGTGACCTCAGCCTGATCTCCCTTGGATATGGTTTAGACTTTGTGTGCCCCCCATCCCTAAACAGGGTAAGCCTAAGTACACATGTGTACCATTCATGTATGTCCCCAGGGCTAAGGGGTGAGGTGTCTCTGGAGCCCACATCTGGCCAGCCTGTTTTCCCCTCTACTTGGCTACAGGATGACCATCTGGACCCATCGTGTCCACTTCCTAGAGGAACAAGTCCTACCTCATTGGAAGTCCTTCACCATTTGGAATGCAGGCAAGCAGGGACGTAGGTTGTACCGCAGCCTGACTGCAGCCAGCCGGCGCAAGGTAGGACCCTTTCCTCCTCATCCTATTGGCCACTATCCTCACTCCCACAATCCTATCACATCTTTATCCTATATCCACTGCCACCATCTGACCTGCTGGCCCGTGTTCACCCCTAGGTGGTGTCCTTCTGTGATGTTGATGAGAACAAGATCAGGAAGGGTTTCTACTGCCATGAGGACTCTCAGGTATGTAAACATGGCAGAGCACCAAAGTACCTTACAGGGAAGGGTTGTCCATACCATGCCAGCTTTCCCTTATACTCATTCTGGCTCTGCCCAAAAATGTAGCCCTCAGCCCTCAAATAGTCTCCAGGATCCCTTAGGGCTTTGCCCCTGTCCTCGGGGAGACTGCTACATATTCCTTCAATCTAAGCCTCAATGTTGGCATACCAGAGTTGGTTCTTCTTGTGTTTATCAGGTGTCTGGGGCTGCCAGAACCCAGGACACAACCACCTGTCCTACCCCTATTGGCCCAAGACACTCATCTGCTACTTGACCACAAGCTCCTATGAGCAGAGGCTGTGGTTAGGACAGGTACCAGGGAGCTCCTTCTGTGTGAGGCCCTAGTGACTCATGGCTGGCACTATCTCTGTAGGAAAGACCCAAGCCGAAGGTCCCCATCCTGCATTTCCAAGCTGCCCAGTCGCCCTTTGTCATCTGTGTGAAGCTGGTGAGTGTTGGCTATGGCTGCAGAGCTCCTGGGTATTAACCTTCCTACTCTTGTCATATGACCAAAGCCAAGGACAAGACCTGACCATGGGCACTGGGGCATAGCCCACTACCTATACCCTTATTGTAAATCAACTCTTACCCTGTGGCCATAAAAACACCCTGAGCTAGGTTAGAGGCCACAGCTGTTGCTCTGTGGGCTGGAGGCAGCTGGGAGTGGCCTGTGGATGCTAGAGGTGGGGGGTGAGGTGAGCATGCCTGGTAACACCCTCATAAAGCTGTTCTCTATCCTTCCTTTAAACACTGAAAACCATTGTTCTGAGCCCAGCCACACATTCAAGGTGCTGTGGTTCATGTTACTCAAAGGGCAGCCTTGCCCACATATAGTAACAGCCTGGTGGTGACAAGTGGGGCCACAGGACCCTCCTTTGGTTCATCTGGTTCCTCTGCTTTTGGTCATGTGGGCATAGATGCCAATCATCCCGTTTCTGTGGAAACCAAGGTTACTTGTGGTCAGTGCTAAACAGAATCCCACAATCTCTCCAGGAAATGAGTCCCCAACAGTTGTGCCAAGCTGAAAATAACAAGACAGCAAGCTTCTTGCTGGAGCTAAGGCTAACCTTTCTTCATCTGCTCTGGATACTGCTCCTTGGTTGGTCAAGCATATGGCAGACATTCCCTCTCAGGAGACACTGCTCTTCAGATATTATTCCCAGAACTCTTTAATGTGGTGACGTTAACTGATGACAGTTTAGTATTCTGCATAGGAAGTTCTTTCCTATACATAGTGTCATGTTTATTAACAGAAAGCTCCATCATAGTTGAGTTCACCTGGAAGGGATGTGTGCCTGTCCATGTGACCTGCCCCAGGTCACTGACCATATGCAGTCCTGCTGGTCAGTAGCCCTTTCTCCCATTGGTGGCTTTTCCTCACTGTAGTAAAATGGGCCTGTCTTTGCACTAAGAAGCTTCTGGGTACAGGCCGAGGCAGAGCCAAGAAGACCTTGTACCTCAGTCACTCTTGTCAAACTGCTCACCATTGGCCTCTGACACTGGCAGGGAACAGTCAGCATTCCTGCAACCCACCATCCTGCTCCAGCTTTGAGTCCAAGACAGTCACTGCAGACGCTGGCAGGTTGTCTGTGATTTGCTTGACAGCTTTTGTTCTCTAATAGTTTTTCTCTTTCAAAGTCCTAATGGGAATTTCCAGATATCTACCAGGAAAGAGGGCATGGCCATTCTGAATGTCAGCAGCCCCAGGACAAGGTATTACCAGATCCGAAGATAGTGCTGTCACCCTCTGTTACCAGTGATGGATATGGTGGGCCCACAGCAAACGGCAGCTCAGGCTCCAGCTGCAGCTGTCCACCACAGGTGTTGGGTCATGCGGGGGATAGTAGATGGTGGACCAAGCTGTTGAGATGGTGGATGACATAGGTGGAACTTCAGCCTGTGTTTCAACCCATGGCATCCAATTTGTGCAGCTCATTTCAGGTCATGGCAGGGTTAGGCCTGGATTCTAAGCCCCCACCCCCCAAGAAAGTGAGACATGTCTAACTGTCTGTGTCTCCTGTGGAGTGATATCACACAGTAGCAGATGATAATAGCCACACCTGGAAACAGTAACATAACAGCATTAAGCTGGTGATACTATGCGAGTGGAAGGCCCCTCCTTAGCTCTGCTTACCAAGCATCTTCTAGCAGTCTGTAACATTTCTCTTTATAAGTAAGGAAGATAGACTTACTGTGATGTGTTGTGTGTGTGTGTGTGTGTGTGTGTGTGTGTGTGTGTGTGTGTGTGTGTATGTGTGTGGTATACTTGTGTTTGTGTATGCTAGTGGAGATCAGAGGTTGACACTGTCTTCTATTGCTTTCTTCTTCTTCTTCTTCTTCTTCTTCTTCTTCTTCTTCTTCTTCTTCTTCTTCTTCTTCATCATCATCATCATCATCATCGAGACAGGTTCTTTCACTGAACTCCCTAATTCATCAAGACTAGCTGGCCAGCCAGCAAGCCCAAGGGGTTCTCCCATCCCTGACTCCCCTCTACTGGGATTACAGTGTATGCCTCCACACCCAGCCTTTACAGTGGTGCTAGAGACTGAACACAGGTCCAATGCTTGTGTAGAAAGCACTGTACTAAAGTCATTGCTAGCTCCAGAGTTTTAATTTATAAACTGATGATATTTTTAGAGTTACTTACATTATTTGACTTTCCCTTTTGTAGAAGTTTGATTCATTCTGATGGATATTCTTGATCATGACATTTTACAGAGCACTGCTCACACCTATATCTAGAACTTCTGCTCCCCCCCCCTCCCCCGGAGCTGAGGACTGAACCCAGGGCCTTGTGCTTGCTAGGCAAGTGCTCTACTACTGAGCTAAATCCCTAACCCCATGGACTTCCGCTTCTTAATTTTATTTGTGATACAACAAGAAGTTATTTTGATAGAAAGATTAACTAGGAATCCCTAGTTAATCTATTTTGTACATCTGATTGTCCTAGCCTTGCATATTAAGCAGCCCATTCTCTTGGTAGGGAATGCATTGGCTGAGATGGTCATTTCTGCTCCCTGGTCTCTTTCTACCAATTACCTGCTCACATTCCAGGGCCTCACCACAGAGGGAAGCTACTCGTATTTTTCTCATTTAAATAAATTGCTGTATTGTGACCCATGACACACAGAAAATGGCTCAACAAAGGTTGGCAAGCACTGGCCCAAAGGTCACATTTAGCCCTCCACCTGTTTTCATAAGTAGCCTTATTAGAATACAGAGGATGTGCACTCACAGAACAGAGTTACAACTTCCTTAAGGAACAGTGCAGATGTTGTTCCAAGGAGATGGGCACAGTGCCCAAATTGTCCTATGCAATGTGCCCAGGCTCAGAGAAGAGCCATGGGCAGCAGCAAGACACCACGTTCAGCTCACAGCATGATGGCCCCCACTGGCAGGACATCTTCTTGGCCTCAGCTTAGCACTGTATACACACGATAGGATCATCTGTTTGCTACTCACGTGAATGGACTCCAACTTTTTGTTCTCATGTCTGGTTCCTCTCAGCACCTATGTGGTATAGACTATTGGATCTTGTTGGCATGTCAGGACCCTGGCTGGTGGGAGTCATCTCTAGTGTTCGGTTGTCATGCTGCTGTGAGCCCCCATTCTCTAGTTTATCCCAGAAGAGAAGTAGAAGTCAGGTTGTGACACCTCCAAACGTCTGTTTCTACCCTTTTGGAGAACTATCTTGCTGTGGTTGTGGGAGTTTCTGACTTAAGGCTGAGCACCACTCATCTGGTGAAAATTTGGATTCCCTCTGCCATGTTTATAACTAGGCTTCCTCCTTACTGGAGTGTGATGGCAGAATCCTCTGCAACTCTGGTGTCAATCCTTGTTGGCTTTGTGTCCTGCAAACACCCTCTTCTTTCGTGACTGTCCTCTCTTTCTCCCGGGAACATGTTAAATACAGGAGCATCTAGTGAGTACTTCTGTGTTTAACAGTGCTAGGTCTCATGGGGGGCAGAGTCTGACCTACCCTGGCCAGAGCCTGTTACTTCTCTGAATATGAGGAAGGGAAAGGAGAGGAAGTGAGAGGGAAAAGAGGAAGGGCAGCAGGTGTGGCCACTGTGGACATTTCTGCTTTTCCAGGCAGAATGTTTTTTAATCAGGTGTTGTTCTTTCTTTTTCTTTCTTTTTTTTTTTAATTTTTTAATTAATTAATTATTTTTTGAGACAGAATTTCTCTGTGTAGCCCTGGCTGTCCTGGAACTGGCTCTGTAGACCAGGCTGGCCTGGAACTCTCTACCTCCCAAGTGTTGGGATTAAAGGCGTGTGCCATCACCGCCCAGCTCACTCAGGTGTTTCTAAGCACTTGTAGCAATGATGGGACAAGGTAGGGTCAGGGTCACAGCTCAGCTCAGAGGCCTCTTGTGGTGGCCCAAAGACAAGAGACTTAAGAGAAACAAAGTGGTCCCTCCCACATCCTGCCAGGTTGCCCCAGACTCCCATCTACCACTAGTTGGGCTGTTCTTTAGCAAGATCATGGCACTTGTTCCCTTTGGGGATTGGGGAATGACAGGTAAGAGGAATCAGAGGGTAGGTACTTGGCAGATCTTGCAGAGATGAGAGGCACAGAGTACACAAAGTTCCCTGAATAGGCAGGAGGAAAGGTGAATCCGCCTGGGCCAACAGTGAGTGCCGTAACTACCTCCAGAGAGGGAAGGGCCACTGCAAAGGGCACCTCTCAGTACTTCACCCTCTTGGTGACCAATACAACTATGTAACAGTAGCACTAGCTGCTGCCCTCACTTCAGGCCCCGCCCCTAATCAGTAGGGGAGCAGAAGTTCATTAAGCAGGCCCAACCCCAGCCCCTGCAGCAATCTTTGCAAGCACCTCAGAAAGCAAGAGGAAGCCTGACTGAGCTGGATCTCTTTCCCCATAGGACCTCACAGGGGGTGAGTTTGAAGACAACCTGAAATCACTGCGCTTGCAGGAAGGCCGGGACTTCGTTCACTTCAGCTGAGGCTGCCGCCAGGTGATCCACATGGAAGCTCTACAGATTCTGAGCCTTGTCTGCTCTACTTCACATGGCAACTGTCAGGTGAAGCGTGATCCTAATTAGTCTTAACAATAAAAACCAGGAGTCAGATATTAAGGGTGAAAGCTGAAAGATCAGAGAAGCAGAGCAGCAGCCATTAGAGAGTTCTTACCTCTATGCATCCTCAGGCCAAATGGGGGTTCCTGTCTCTATGAATCCTCAGACTGAATAGGCGCCAAGATCTGTCTCCACCTGCCTTATATTCCTGTCTCCAACTCCTTAGTGCTGGGATCAAAGGCTTGAGCCTCCCATATGCTGGGATTAAAGGTGTGTGCCACCACTGCCTGGATCTGTTTCTCTTTTAGACTGGTTCAATCTCCTGTAGCCCAGGGTAGCCTTGAACTCCTGATCTTCCTGCTTCCTCCTCCCAAGTGCTGGAATTAAAAGTGTGTGTCACCACTGCCTGGCCTCTATGTTAACCAGTGGCTAGCTCCACACTCTGATCTCCAGGCAAGCTTTATTTGTCAGAAGACAAAATATACATTTCCCCTCTTTTTGTTTAAATCAAAAGTGAAAGTTTTAACTAACATAGAAAAACTATATAAATACAATAACTATATACAAATATATAGGCAATAATTACATTAACAATGTCTAGTCTACTAGCATTTGAGAAGTTCAAAGAAAATACTCTATTAGTTATAATTATAGTTTTTCTTAGTTATAATAGAAAGTAAATTAGATACAAAACTTTAGACTCACCAAGATAGATAATTATTTTCTCTAATTTTGCCAAATGCAAATGGATTAGTGTTACTGTAATTCTTAATAACTGTTTTTGTTGCATATAGTTTTACTATATTAAGGTTAAAACCTTCCTTTTTAATTAGACAAAAAGGGTGAAATGCTGTGGAATAATACTCTTGTACACTGTAAAGATTTGTCATTCAAATTGGTTTAATAAAATGCTGATTGGCCAGTAGCCAGGCAAAAAGTATAGGCTGGGAAACCAAACTGAGAATGCTGGGAAGAGGAAGGGCAGTCAGGAGTCACTAGCCAGATGCAGAGGAAGTATGGTAAAAATGCCACACTGAAAAAAGGTACCAAACCACATGGCTAAACATAGATAGGAAATATGGGTTAACTTAAGTGTAAGAGCTAGTTAGTAGTAAGCCTGAGCTATTGGCAGAGCATTTATAAGTAACATTAAAAGCCTCTGAGTGGTTATTCAAGAACTAGCGGATGGGAGAGAACAGTCTGCTTCCTCCCAACTTCTTCCCTCACGCGCAGTGCATTAGTTTTCACCCTTTCATTTCTGCTACATAACTTGAGGCCTCAATCTTCTAAGCACCACTTTGGGCAAATTTCCCATGTTTAGTAACTTTGACCAACTGTCTGGTGATTTTTTTTTTTTGGTTTTTCGAGACAGGGTTTCTCTGTGTAGCTTTGCGCCTTTCCTGGAACTCACTTGGTAGTCCAGGCTGGCCTCGAACTCACAGAGAT